TCTTAATGAATAGAATGATTTGTTCTAATGGTGTTTGTAAATAGGATCACAAGTCCACTTCTTGTACAGCAATTAACCACTAAGAAGAATGTATGCAGTATATTATTTGTTGAAACTGTACTTCCGATTGGATTTGAAACTGTCTCATTGCTATATGTTTATCAATAAAACTTTGAAAAAAAAGGAAAAAAAAAAGAAATGCAAAGGAGTTGAAAGCATCCCCTGCATATTACCTAGCCGCAGTGTTACAAAACTAGAAATTATTGACAAAAGAAACCACAAGAGGGGCTGGGGAGTGGCTCAGTATAATAAGTGCTTCCCTGGCAAGTGCAAGGGCCTGAGTTCAATTGCCAGTTCAAAAAAAAAAAAAAAACACACACACAAGAAAACATAACCACATGGAAATTCAATAATAACCTCCTGAGAGATAAGTAAGTCACAGATGAAATTAAAGAAGAAATATTTACTGTGAAATAAAAATGCAGATAGCACTTACCAGAAGCTCTGGGATACACTGGTATCTATTTTAAGTGAAATAGATTCACTTAAAGATCACTTATGATCTTTAAGCCCACATAAGTGATCTTATGCTACAGCCCATGCTCCTAGAAAAGAAGTAAAACATAAACCACAAAGAAGGTAGGAAAATATAAGATTAGAGTGAAATTAATTTAATGGAGGCAAAGAAAATATGAATAAATGAATCAAAGAGTTGGTTCTTAGAAAGACTAAATAAAATTGATATATCCCTAGGCAAAATTATCAAGAAAGGAAAGAAAACCCCATATTCATGCAACAAGGAATGAAAAGGATGAAATCACTACAGATCTTATAGAAATTTAGAAGATCATCAATATCAAGTGCAGGCCAAGCAAGTGTGATGGAGAGCTTCTGGCTCCCTTGTGTCTGCAGGACCTCTTCCAGCCAAACCCAGGCATGTCGCATGAGTGAGATCCTGTGCTGTACCATTGGGACCCTTCCACCCCTTCGGAGTGCCTCCAAGCCCACCGATGAGTGAGAACTTCTGTACTTCTCTCGGGACCCCCCAGACCCAGCCCAAGCCCAGGCCAGGCTAGAGTGTGGGAGAGCTTCTGTGCTCTCCTGTGCCCCCCAGACCCCTCCAGACCCACACCAGATCTGGTGTACAGGCCTGGGGTGAAATTCTGCAGCTGAAGTCTCTTACAGAGAGACTAGGGGAAAGAACCACTCAACTAATCCAGGAGCAGAACATCTTGCCATTGGGGCACAACAGGTTCACTTCCAAGGGCTGCAGCAGGAAGGAACTGAGCACAACAGCTACACTCAATTCAGGCACAATTGGATGAACTCAAATTTAATAGACCTGCACCCAAATTTCAGCAGGTGCTAAGATTAGAGCTGCCCCAAAGCTCTACAACAAAAGTCAGAGGTCAGTGCTGTATAAAATGACAAAGAGAAGGAGCAAAATGCAATTTCAGGCCTTGAGCCCTCCCAGAACAAGTGCAGAGGACAGTAGCACAGAAGAAATTGGGAATCACATGGCTGAAATATGAATAAACAATTACATATTTTTACTCAGAAGTTTAGAAATCTAACCATATATAGCACTGTAGCAGGACAGTCCTGTGACTTTTTTCTTTTCTCTTTTTTTCATTTATTACCCTTTTTTTTTCAAAATTTTATTGATAAACAGCAATGAGACAGTTTCAAATCAAATCGGTAGTACAGTTTCAATAACTAATACACTGCATATATTCTTCTTAGTTTACCCTTTTGTTTTTAAAACAGACATTTACTTGAGAGATAGTGTGGCAATAATTGGTATGTCATGACAAGCAGTATGTATTTAGAAGACCAGAATGACAGGCATTCCAAGCATGTCCTGTCTATTACATATTGCTATCTTCAGTGCAGTTGATTGGTTCACAGGTATCAGTATACATAGTTAGCTTGAGAATCCTACCAATTAATTGCTAGTTTCAAAACCATGCTGATAGTTCTCAGGGTCATTGCCTTACCTATCTTGTGTGTAAATGTATGGCTTTGCCCCTGTCATTTTCCCCAGCTTTGATCCTTGCTCTCTCCTCATTATCCAATTCTCAAGTCCTCTCTTTCCTTTTAATTGTGTTATATCTTTCAATTTGTATTTCTCCTTTTGAGTACTTATACTAGGGAGACTATACAATATTTACACATGTGGGTCTGGTTTATTTCACTTATGATATATTTTCAAGTAGGATCCACTTAAATATAAATTCTTCAAGTTTATCATTCTTTATAGCTGAGTAATACTCCATTGCATAAAAAGACCACATCTTTTTCATCCATTCCTCAGGAGACAGGCATCTTGGTTGTTTCCAAGATTTGGCTATCACAAATTGTGCTGTTATAAACATAGGTACACATATATTATTTTAATATGATATGATGTTTTCAGTTCCTCTGAGAAAATTCCCAGTAGGGGGATAGCAGACTTGACTGGGATTTCCAGTCCTAGTTTCTGAAGGAGTCTCCACACTGATTTCCATAACTGTTGCACCAGTCTTCTCCACCAGCAGTGGAGAAGAGTTCCTTTTCCCCCACAGCCTCTACAGAATTTGTTGTTGGTTGATT